ACCAATTGTAATTCATATATGAACTTTAGTAATTGAATATGTCTGTTTGATATGAACATTTTTTATTGTAGTTATAAAGTTCTATAATAATAGAAATAATATTAGTAAATGAATAGTTAATATTTCTTTTGGTTAATAGGAAATGAAGGCAATGCTCTATACTGCTGTAGAAGAAGCACCTTCAGCTGAAAGTGTTGAACCAGAAGTGATATCCCGACACTTTGCTTCCTTTGATGAAGTGTTTTTTACATTTTGTGATCGTGAATTAAAAAAGATTAATACTTTTTATTCTGGTAAGAAAAGTTTACTAAAATTATATACATAAAAAGTGAATTAAATAAATAAAATTGTTTATAATTATATTTATTCATACCAAAACACTTAATACTCTTTAATTTCATTATAAGAAACAATCTTTTATTTTCATATAGAAAAGCTAGCAGAAGCAACACGTAAATATGCAGCTCTTCTAAGTGAATTGAAAATAGCATTAGAATTACAACAAGGTGGAGGAAAAAATAAGGGGAAAGTAAATGTTAAACCTCCTTTGCCAACAAGGAAGCTTAGAGAACTAAAACTTGCATTCTCAGAATTTTATTTATCTCTCATACTTCTTCAAAATTATCAAAATCTTAACTACACTGGTTTTCGGAAAATTCTTAAAAAACACGACAAGGTATATAAAAAGAAAAGTGTTGTCTTCTTAAGATTGCATTAATCCATGCTTAATTCTTTCGTATTTCTCTAGGTTTACAGGTTCGTTTAAACAATAATGCAAAAATACGGAAAGAACTAATAATTATTTTAAACTCCTTTATCCTATTAAGTACAAGTAAAAACCCAGCACATCTCATATATCATACTAATTTGTATCTGTTATTATATGAATTATAATATTATTTTTATTTCTATTTTTAGTTATTATCTGTAGATAGTGGTTCAAAATGGAGAATGGAATGTGTCGAAACTGCACACTTTTATACATCAAAAGATATAGACAAGCTCATACAAGATACAGAAGCTACAGTAACAAGCGATTTAGAAGGTGGAGACAGACAACGTGCCATGAAACGTTTACGTGTGCCACCCTTGGGAGAACATCAAAGTCCATGGACTACTTTTAAGGTTGGATTATTCTCTGGTAGCTTCATTGTGCTATTTGTGGCAGTTGTGCTTTCAGGTAATGACAAAACTGATATAGTAAAGAAAAAAGAATATAATTCATCTTTATATTTACATCCTTTTTTTTGTTATTTTATTTCTAGCGATATTTCATGATGGTGGAGAAAACTTAAAGATTGCATTTAGATTATACCGCGGTCCTTTACTTATTGTACAATTTTTATTTCTTATTGGTGTGAATGTTTATGGTTGGCGATCATCTGGCGTGAATCACGTATTAATATTTGAATTGGATCCGCGAAATCATTTATCTGAACAGCATCTCATGGAACTGGCTGCTGTTCTTGGAGTTATATGGACTCTTAGTTTATTAAGTTTTCTATATAGTGGTAGCTTGAGCATTCCAGCATATGTAAATCCATTGGTTTTAGTCTGTATCATGCTGGCATTTCTCCTAAATCCATTAAAAATGTTTCGGCACGAGGCACGATTTTGGCTATTAAAAATCATTGTAAGTATCACGTACTATAAAAATAGAATTAGCAAATAAGAAATAAAATATTCTGCTTAATCTCTTTTTCAGGGAAGAGTTTTAATATCACCATTTGCGTATGTGAATTTTGCTGATTTCTGGTTGGCAGACCAATTGAATAGTATGGCTATAGCATTACTAGACTTCCATTTTTTAACATGTTTTTACATAACTAATGGAAATTGGTTAGAAGTTGGAGATACCACACAATGTATGTCTGGGTCTTTAATTGTTAGACCCATTGTTAATTGTCTACCTGCATGGTTCCGTTTTGCGCAATGTATTAGACGCTATCGGGATTCTAAAGAAGCATTCCCGCATCTAGCTAATGCCGGAAAATATTCAACAACATTTCTCGTTGTAATTTCTAATACTATGTGTGCATATCGTGCTGGTAAGTTATAAACAATTTTTTTATATGGTTGGGATCCGTTTTAATGAGATAGGAAATAAAAGAATACTTCTTTCAGTGGAATATCAAACTCGCTGGGAAAATCCATGGCTGTGGCTTTGGGTGATAAGTTGTTTTGTTAATTCAATATATTCCTTAACCTGGGATTTAAAAATGGATTGGGGTCTTTTAGATAGCAATGCTGGTGAAAATAAATTTTTGCGTGAAGAAGTTGTATATTCGGCAGCAGTGCGTACATAAAAATATATTCTAATTTTTCTGCTCTCTTTGTTTTTTACACTTCTTGACTTTGATTCTTTTTTAGGGATTCTATTATTTTGCCATAATTGAGGATTTTATATTAAGATTTGCATGGATAGCTAGTTTCGTTCTCGTTGAATGTGGATTCGTATCCAGTGATTTAATGACGTCCATAGTAGCACCTCTCGAAGTTTTTAGGTAAGTCTTCAGTTATTTTATTATTAAATTAAATTTCATTTATTAAACTAGCAACTGACATGATAATCTATTCATTTTAAGGCGTTTCGTTTGGAATTTCTTTCGGTTAGAAAATGAACATTTAAATAATTGTGGTAAATTTCGTGCAGTTCGTGATATATCAATAGCACCGATAGAAAGTTCTGATCAGACACAGATTTTACGTATGATGGATGAGGATAATGGTGTACTTAATAGAGGCAAACGTAAAGTAGGGGGTAAACGGCAAACTAATACTAAAGAAGATAAACGAGCGTTGCTCAAAGAAGAAACAATTGACATAGATATATCTAATGCTAGTTGAAGATAGCTCAATAATTTTACCGCTGGTAGCAATTTAAGCCAATATTGCTCCAAATTTATTGTAGCTTTTGTAAGAATCTGTAGTCCGTTGCAACGAGTGTAAGCAAAACCTTATGAATGACTAATATTTCATTATTATGTTTATCAAAATTGAAGACTGTAAAGCTGAAACTATTACAAGTGCCTTGTATGTCGTTCTTAAAAGAACTCTTTGTTAAACTGAATTTAATAATTTAGTACTATTATACTTATGCTACAGTGTCTTCCATAAAAGTATTTTAGCACATAACGCATGGCATATCGCTAATAAATTGATTTAATTTAATTACCAATTTTTGAACACTTTGAATATGTAGAAATATAGGAATTATTTTTTCAGACAATTTGGAAGTTATTTTTTACAATTCTTGCGGCTAATAAGCATTAAATTAGCATATACAATCAGATAAAGATAGATTAATTTATTAACGGTACGTTATGTGTTAATAATGTATATGTATATGTGTTAAATACTATAGTCTTCAATTTTGAGTAATAAATGCATAGCTTCATACCTAAAAAATGTATAAAGTGTGCCATACAAAATTGTAGTTGTATATAATAGTGAATTGTAAGTAGAAATAGGCTTGCTACTTCAATGTGACTATTTGTTCATGTTGGTGCAACCAGCGATAGTACACAGTAGTATTATAATTAAAGCCAAGAAAAGTCGCTTATTATTTCATAACATTCATTACGTTTATCTTGAAAAATAAAAAATTGCAAAGGAATAATTAGTGAAAAATGTATTCGTTAGTTATGTCACAAAGCAATTGTATTTGTCCGGTCTAAGATAGTTGAATCAATTGATTTAAAATTCACTAGACCACAATATCTTTAATATTACTTAATTATTACTTTCAATACATTATGTAAATTTTTTCTTTGTTTGTGGTAAATGATAAATCTTATTTTTGCATGTTATATAATATATTACATTTATTTATAACAGCGAGTTATAAAATAGAATATAGTATACTAAGAAATACAGAAGCTTGTATGTAGTGTATGCAAAAAAATTTTTTATATTACTACTTTATTAAGCAAAAATATGAAAATAAGTAAGCCTTCACTTTTTAATTAGACGCTAAGTACTTAATATTGCACACGACATAGCATTTTTGTAGAAATATTTACACATTTATATACTGGAAATTTAAACATGTTTCAATGCATTAACACGTTTGCTGTCACCAACGCAGCATATGTGGTGCAGAATGTATTGGCCACCGTGCTATCGCAGCGAACATGTTAAAAAACTACTTACAATTTTTTTAATGCCAACGATAATGATATAGTAGACGTGACTTCAGTATGAATTACTAATATTGATAGCAGTTCATGTTCAAAACATAACTAAATGAATTGTCATTAAGTTCTTTTTTATGCATTTCGTATGAAAAGAAAATTACTTAAAAAATACCCTTTGTACTTTACAAACAAAAAAAGGAAAGCCGATAACTTAATTTTATTCATTCAGTTGCGAATTTAAAGAACGTGGTGCTTTACATTGTACTATTCCTTAATCACGATAATGTATCGCTGATTGTAGTATCAGAGTATTCATGAATTAAATATTCCAATTATTGTGATGATTTTACAGGTATTTTTATATACGTTGTTATAGTGATAGTAGTGATGACGACAGTGAAGAAACCTTACACTTACTGAAAAATAACAGATATTTTTATATTTCGTATACAAGATGTATACCTTGTATACCTTCTTCGAAATAGGCGCAATATATGCAACATGTGATTACGTATAATTATAAGTAGTTAGTAGCGAATTAAGTATGTATATGTTTGTATATAAAGTACTTATATTTCGTTAATAAAATATCGTGTATTGAAGAGCTAGCACGTTATATTTAATGTATTTTTATTTGTAAATAATAATGTTCGATAACGGATTTCATTTTAAAAATTTATTTATTCATAACAATACATGTTACACATTATATACACACGACAGAGTCTGCGCCGAATCAACTTCGAATAATAACGTTATGACTGTACAATAGAATGGCGATATTAAATCGACATCACTTGTAACACTTTACAGACTAAACTATTGGAGAAAGCAATAATTACAAACGACTTATATGATTTTATGTAATAAAGTTCTGTTATGTTTCTTACAGATATCTAATAATATATGCATGTTTCGAATACCTATTTTAGCATCAGGTATCTTAGAATTATATCTTATTGTACAAAGTGGAATAATATTCCAGATTGCATTAAACATATCAGTATGATCTATTTCAACTTTTTGTGAGCCTACACTGAATTAATTTTAAATTATATTCTGTTGTACTGACTCTTACTTTGCACTGAATATGATAGATAATTTTGTAAGATTAATCTATAACGGTTATAAAACTTCTTTTGTTTGTTCTCAATTAATTCTGATTAATTGTTGGATTGCAAACGGATAAATCATAATGTACTTACTGATTAAACAAAATGATAAAATGTCTTACCATTTGTAAATAACTTTAGTGACTCAAAAGAAAAACAGAGCCAAGTAAAATATGATTGTTAATTTTCTACATGATATTTGACAAATTTAGTAAAAGTGTAAGATTTGTAAGAATATTCTTAAAAATCTAGTGCGGGAAAGGTATATATATATATTAATTAATTA